GCGTTCGCACGAGAATTTTTTATTTTTTATTTCTAATATAAGTTGTATTTATTTTTTTTGTTTAGATATAATTTGTTTTTGTTAAAACTAAATTGAATGCAAATTTTTGTAACTAAATTTAATTAAATTTCTAATAATTTGAAATTTAAATTAAAGATGATCTAGATTTTAGAAAATCTAAAAATATTTAAATTAATAATTAATTTTCGAAAATTAAATATAAAAATAAAAAAAAATATTATAAAAAAAAATTTAGGAGTGTTTGGATGCAAACACTAAATGTGCTTCTATTTTAATAGAATAGATGAATTGATTGTTTCAATTTAAGAATCGTCAACTGGGATGAGATTGTGGGTGGTCTTATTAGAATTAACCAACTACGATATATATATATATATGCACATTCCTCAAATTGTAATATTAAATGAATTATTTCCTAATTATATTTGTAACTGCATACTTTATCAAAATCCTGTTTTATAAGGAAATTAAAATTCAAGAGGATTGGGTTGTTGAAGATGTTTTCATGATTAAAAAACTTTTAAATTGTTGAATTGGGCCTTGATCGAAACAAGAAAGTGTTGATTTAGGCTTCTAGGCTTTTACTGAAAGCATTTTTTATTTTAATTGGGCCCATAACGGGTCATGGATTACGGAAATTTAAGTGACCCTCTGCTTTCGTCTCTGCCCTCTCGTTACATATCAAATGAAATGAATGATTGTCTAGTTCGTTCATTAATGGGCTACATGACCATCCAAGTCAAAATAATTATAAATAAACCAAACCGAGCTAGCAGGTTTCCATGATTTCTTTTCTATCATAATTAAATAATAAAATATTAAACCGAAACCCAACCGGAGCTAATTAGCTTTTCTTTCAGTAAAACAGAAATATCGAACTGATTAATCTTAAATTAAATGTCTATGTATCCCTAAATGGATACCTCATAAGTAGGTCGTTTTATTTGATCCTCGTACCTTTTTGTTTGATCAAATATACTGTATATGTATATATATATATATTATTATTTTTTAACATTTTGATAATATATATTTTAACTATATAAGTAACCAGTAAGCATTTGCATATGTCGCATCTAGATTCTATAAGCCACATCCATCATACAAGTCTCATCAGTAGAAACAGTACATATTATAAGGAGAAGAAGCTATGAGAGCCACTAATAAGAGATGATGATGTTCATAAAATCATACATTAAATGGTTCAATCAAAAAATTGGCAGGGTATATCATTACGGTAACGTCAAGTAATTGCGCAATAAATAATGATAATAAAATATGGGACGATTTTTATCTGTGGTCTATCGACAATTTTAATTACCTCCCCCCCCCCACAATAGTACCAATTTCAGTTATGATGCTAGCATAATTTGAAGAACAAAAAAAAACATGAAATCTTGTCCCATGGTTTTTTTTTTCTACATGACAATTTTCTACAAGAGCTGTTATAGATAAAAGTGGCACCATTTCATTTAAAAATACCCAAACTAATATGAAAAACCAATCCAAACCAAATAATTTGTAATTAGGTTTTTATTTACTTTTTATATTTTAAAAGAACATCATCACGGCCATTTCTTGTTCAAAAAAAAAAATCATCACGGCCATTTAGAGAAAATTAAGGTTGCTCTAATTCAAAAATGTAGTTGCTGAGAATCTCTATATATATGGCATCATGGTGGAAGGGAATACAAGACGTATTTAATGGTACCGCTTAGCTCACAAACTAAAGAGATTTGTTCGTAGGTGGTCTGATGTGGGCTCCAAACCGCAATCAATCCATTGAAGCTCTGCTCTGTCTTTTGATAATAAATTTCTTTGCTCATTTGAGGCAAGAATCCTCTGCAAATGCTTCTAAGTCAGTGCGCGTTATTCAAACTCTTTTCTCCTCTTTGTAAATAACATTTTTTTTTTTAATTTGATATTTCATCCCAAAAAAATCGTTCAAAATTATGTTAAAATTTCAAATCCGATGGCGGTGAATGAAGATGAAGGCTTTGATATCTTGGTATGATGGGCTGTTAAATGTTATAAATTGTGTGGTGGTTGTGAAAAGCTGTATGTTTGAGGCAAAAGCATAAAATGCATGATAATTACGTAGAACCCCCCACCCCAAATGAAAATAAAAAATAAAAAATGGTTTGGGTATAAGGCACTTCATTAGGCAATTAACATTCAACGAAATAGGCATGCCTTTAACTACCTCACCAATTATAATATTTTCCGCAACATTTGCATGCACGTTTCTCTTCCAATAGATTCTTTGTTCACTATATGTATTTTATTTCTGCAAGCAACAAAGAAAAACTAAAAAGAAATTAGATAATTGGACCGTTAAAACATATAGTCAACATGCATTTTCTCGTTAGTCACCTACCCGACCAGTCTCACTAATATTGCTGCGTAATGTTTGAGGAGGAAAGTCTATGTTCTCTCTTTGTATTGGGCGGTAAAATTTTCAAAAAAAGTTACTTGTTTGAACCAAAATTATTGTATAATTTTAGGGATTATATTTTATGGCTTAAACTGTTAAACATATATAGTTTGAATGACAACTTTGGTCAAACGTCGGATACTGGATCCGATTACTGATACATAACGTCGGTGCAATTCTCCAATAGTTAATGGCGTTGACTTTACGTGACTATAGATGAGCAGGATCTATACATGCAACCTCAGCTAGGGTTTTTAAGTGATAGTACTGATTTGGTCCTTTGGAGTATATGTAATGACTGCAACAAAAGCGATGGTAATATATTCATAAGTAGGAAGAAAGAATAAAAAACGAGAGACGATAGAAAAAGAAAAAAAAATCAAAAATCAAAATCGAGACAGCCCAAAACAATGCCAACAAAAAAAGAAAATACATTGAAGAGGGGGACCGATCGATGTGATCTTTTAATATAATTTTCGATCGATGTGAATGTGATCTTTTAATAATTTTTTTTTTTTTGTTTAAAAAAACGTGTACGCGTAAACGAATACGAGAGTCTCTCTTAGGAACGATGTGATCCACTTCAATGATTCAGATAACCTTTCACATCCAGTTCATGTGACTACTTCAATATATCGATCAGTCGAAGATATATCTCGATCGGTCGATACGGATTTTAGGTTTTGATGCATATAACTAACGAACCAAGATATAAACAAATCAGGATTTCTACATTAACTTTTGACTTTTCCATCATCTTTTCATTCTAAATGCCAGACATGGTAGTTATGTTTTTTCCTATTTTGTCATTCTATCTAATTTTGTAGCTAGGTTTTGTTTGTTTTTCTTAAATTTATCATTCCAATTATAATGTTACCATCTTATGACAAAATAATTATACGGTTCCTTAAAAAAAAAAAAGAACAATCATCATATCATTTTGCGGAATCCTATTAGATTATTCTACAAAATAATTTAAAAACAGCAAAAAAAAAACAGTGTTAATTTTAGAATCCTTTTATTCTTTATTAATTCCTAATTTTGCAATCTTTACGATCGAAAGTAATGTTTTCAGGAAGTGGACTTCAAGAGATTATATTGGCTTTACCGGCCTAACGAATAAGAAACCTAAAAAGTGTCAAAAAAGAGTATGACATATGATAGTAATTATGAAGAAAAAATATTGCCCGGCGGATGAAAATGTCAAAAAAGAAAATGGAAAGTTGGTAGAACGAAAAGATTACACATAGAGAAGGACTCACACGATGACGCAATTTTCAAAGCAAAATAAAAATTGGCGGAAGTGAAGGGTAAAATGGTCCAGACAGTTCAATGTTCACAACACGAGGTTTATGCATCAATTCCATTTTCACACTTCTCTATGCTTCATCATCAATTTCATCTACTCTTATGTCTACATTTAGTGTTTGGCTTTGCTCTTTCTTTTCATGTATATGTCGACAAATTTTAATTTTATTTTGTTACTCTTAATAAGTATCACAAATATGGAGTAGGCAAGATATCGACTAGGATTTCGATGTTTGTCCCGAAGCATGTGTGTATAGTGTGGTTCAATTATATGGTCAATCTACGGTTAGAGGTTAATTTAAATACTTCTAAATAGCTGTATTTAATTTTGGTTAGAACGAAATAAATGTTCTTAAATGGAGTATTGATTAAATTCAACTGTTAATGCCATCTTATATAGACGTCTTTAATGGATGGAAAGAAGAAAAACGGTTAAATATTAGATTGTCCGAATCATACGAGAGTTACAGTGTTATGGAAGAATTTAATGATGTTTGGTTGCCGATGGAGTAGACCGCTGTTATACAAAGAATTTAAACAATCGTATTGATATTTCTTCTTCAGTAAGTTTGGTCCAATTAATTAGTGAAAGTAATTAGACTGTCTAATTTAGACATAGTAGTATAGGTAAGGTTGGACTTATTGTATTTATTATGATTATTATTGTACTTGCATTGCATATATCGTGATCTGACATAAGTTGTCGTTAGCTTAAAGAATTTATTAGAGTCCGGTCGGTAATGACTTGTCTCATGAATTTATTACTGTCATGTCTTTTGGTTATTATCAATTCTCGTACCGCAAACAAGTTGGAGTGTCTTTTTTAAACATGTATTTTGTTCCAAAATATTTTCCAAAGTCAAGGTGTTTGCATTTCCGATTCAAATACAAACAAATATTTCCAATTTAGTATTCATATACAAGACTAAAATTATAGATAACAAATCACAACAATTGATAAATAAAAACGTTTACCTTAGATATGGAATTTAGATTCAGAACTCTGTAAATATATATATCATAGGTACGTTGGTTTTGGAGTTTCCAAAAAAAGCACTCACGGACCTGAAAAAAAAATTGTACTGTGGATTAGAAAATTTGAGTAGCAATGTATATATATGTTTATTTTATATGTCAATATATTCCTTTACAAATTTTGATGTATTCGACGGAAGAAAAACATAACCATTTTTTTTTTCTTGTAAGATCAGCTAAGTAAAATTTCAATGCAACCACATGAGTATATTCTAGTGTTTCCGTGTCACCGTGTGTCTGAATCCTTGGTATGAAGCTAAAAAATCCAATTACCTAAAAAATCGCCTTTTGTTTTCAGCATTTGAATACATATATCGTAAGCGTGGGATGCGCTAAGATCACTCAACAATTTCATAAAAAACAGCACAGCATGCATATTTTAGATAAAACCAAATGTTTAGTTTTTGCTCTTTCATGTAGGGTGTTAACTCAATTATAAACTCTCCTCATTTACGTAAAATTTGCAGACACTTTTTAGTTAACATTAATTATTCTCACCTCCGAAAGACTGAAACAGGTCAGATACTACACCACCGATAATTTCAGTGGATCAACATTGTTTTATTTTTTTTATAAAATGATTAACTAAAAAGGAAAAAACACTACATTTTGAAGAATATTCAAATCGTATAGAAAAGGGACGGTCACCAACTGCATAACCTAACTTGTTAAATCTCTTCTATAGATCTTGGAGTTGGCAGAAAAAAGTGCAAACTTGGAAGAAAACTGGAACCAAATGCGCTTTAAGTTTAAGTAAGCGTGTTCACATAACGTTATGTTTTGAAGACACTTTTCTATTCTATGATTAGGTTTGGATCAAATTAACTGTTATCCATTATATGGTTATATATATATATATATATATATATATATATATATTGATAGCTGTTGACTTCTTCAAATTTTTTAATTCAAAGTATCATAATAAGATGTGGTGCCTATATATGCATGTGGACTTGTAAGAAACAAGTCATTTGTCGTAAAGTTAGTGGCAGAAACTTTTTGGATTTCTAACCGTGATAGGTTTTCAATGATTGTATTGCCAAAGTTTAGTGATCATTATAGTAAACGTGAAACAAATTTGGTTAATATGTTGATATGATTTTGAGCAGCAGGCCCCTAATTGCCAATGGAGCTAATGCGTCACAATCTGACCACTTCATCATTCATGTTTCACAACATGATAACAGTACTACAATAGTGTAGATGATCCACCTAATTAATAAGAACATTGGGCTATACAATATTTTATTACATTAATTTTATTGTTCTTGGCTAATGGTTAAATATTTCTCAAAAAACCACCACCCTATACTGCTGCTATACAAAATGTTTCGATCAAAATGCTCTGTTTTGAGAGAGAGAGAGAGAGAGAGAGAGAGAGAGAGAGAGAGAGAGAGAGAGAGAGAGAGAGAGAGAGAGAGAGAGAGAGAGAGAGAGAGAGAGAGAGAGAGAGAGAGAGAGAGAGAGAGAGAGAGAGAGAGAGAGATAGAGAGAGAGAGAGAGAGAGAGAGAGAGAGAGAGAGAGAGAGAGAGAGAGAGAGAGAGAGAGAGAGAGAGAGAGAGAGAGAGAGAGAGAGAGAGAGAGAGAGAGAGAGAGAGAGAGAGAAACCGATGGAGACATCCAACTAATTAAGAAAAAAAAAGGCAACTGCAGTGAGATAATCGTGTGATGAATGCAACAACACTGTATGAATATATTGTTTCATTTGTTATGTGATATACTATATCTTAACTTTATGTATGCACATAGCCAAATATAGTTAGAATCATCAACCATAACTTCTTGGAAACAAACACAAACACATTCTAACTTTTTTTTTCTCTCAAAAATAAAGAAAAAAGAAAAAAATTCATAGACGTTGTGGCGTACAGTTAATGCAAGATGTGTGGGTTAACGAAAATTTTAAAACGGAAACAAAAATAAATAAAAAGGGTCAAACCTTCACAGCACCTTTGCTCTCGCCTATCATCATCACACGCTATATAAATCTCCTCTGCAACCTTGGATTCGTCCTCTTCAATACATTAACTCATTTCAATTTTTCTTTCTCTCTCTCTCTCTTTCTTACAAAGCCATAACTATGGTGTTTCCAGAGCTTCTAGTGATTCTAGGTGAATGGGTTCTTTACCGTCTTCTTGCTAATTCATGTTACAGAGCTGCTAGAAAGCTTAGAGGCTATGGCTTCCAATTGAAAAATCTCCTAAACCTCTCCAAATCACAATCTCTACACAACAATTCTCACCATCCTCATCATCATCAACAGCAACAAAACCAACAAAACCAGCTCTCTGAAGATTCTCTAAACCCTCTCTTCCCAAGCATTACAAAGTATCAAGAGCCTCAAGACAAAAACAGAGCATCCTCTGTTTCTCCTGATCATCATCATCTTCACACCTTGGTTTGCGACATCAATGGTGTTCTATTGAGACAACATTCAAGCAAACACTTCCACACGTTCTTCCCTTACTTCATGCTCGTGGCCTTCGAAGGAGGATCGATCATCAGAGCGATCCTTCTCTTGCTCTCTTGTTCTTTCCTCTGGGCTCTGCCACAACAAACCAAACTCAAAATCATCTCTTTCATAACCTTCTCTGGCCTTAGAGTCAAAGACATGGACAACGTTTCTAGGTCGGTTCTACCCAAATTCCTCCTCGAGAACTTGAATCCCCAAGTTTATGAAGTCTGGGCTCGAACAGGATACTCCAAAGTCGTGTTTACGAGCTTGCCGCAAGTGATTGTGGAGAGGTTCCTCAGAGATTACCTCAACGCTGATGATGTGGTTGGGACTAAGCTGCAAGAAATAGAAGTTATGGGGAGGAGATTCTACACCGGCTTAGCTTTAGGGCCTGGTTTCGTCGTGAAACATAAATCAGCCAAAGATTATTTCCTTGATAACAACAACAAGAAGCCTGCACTTGGAATTGGAAGCTCTTCAAGCCCACAAGATCACATCTTCATCTCCATTTGCAACGTAACTTCTTTTTCCATTTTCTTTACTTCCCAATTCCTCTTAAATGAATTAACTTCCAATTTGGTTTAATTTTCCAACAAAATCACATTTTCATATCTAATATCTTTACTTCCCACTTTCATAAAATAGATTTAAGGGTAATTATCAATTTTGTCTAAGTTTTCCCACAAGATCACATCTTTACTCCATTTTCTTTTCTTTCCCCAAAAAAAATAAATAACTTTCAACTTTTAATTTACAGATTTCCCACAAGATTGTATCTTCATTTCTATTTGCAAATTATATTTTTTTCTATGTTGCTTTACTTCCCAATTTAACAAAAGTAGGCTAAAGTCACTAACTTTCACTTTACTTCTACACTTCCCTTACAGGAAGCTTATCTTTGGAATGAAGAAGAGTCCATGAACAAGAACAACACATTTCCTAGAGAAAGATACCCAAAGCCATTGATATTCCACGACGGGAGATTAGCTTTCTTGCCAACACCATTGGCTACACTAGCTATGTTCGTATGGCTCCCTATCGGATTCTTCCTCGCTGTCTTCAGGATCTCGGTAGGAGTCTTGCTTCCTTACCATGTAGCCAATTTCTTGGCTTCTTTGTCCGGTGTTAGGATCACTCTCAAGACCCACAATTTGTATAACGGCCGTCCAGAGAAAGGTAAAAGTGGGGTGTTATATGTATGTAACCATAGGACCCTCCTTGACCCGGTATTTCTCACCACGTCGCTTGCCAAGCCCTTGACTGCGGTTACCTACAGCCTAAGCAAGTTCTCCGAGCTCATAGCGCCTCTCAAGACGGTTAGCCTCAAGAGAGACAGGAAGAAAGATGGCGAGGCGATGCAGAGACTGCTAAGCAAAGGAGATCTAGTGGTTTGTCCTGAAGGAACCACTTGTAGAGAGCCTTACCTACTGAGATTCAGTCCTCTGTTCGCCGAGTTAACCGAAGACATTGTTCCCGTGGCTGTGGACGCTCGAGTGAGCATGTTCTATGGGACAACAGCGAGTGGCCTAAAGTGTTTGGACCCTATATTCTTCCTCATGAATCCTAGGCCGGTTTATTGTCTTGAGGTTTTGAAGAAGTTACCACGAGAAATGACTTGCGCAGGAGGTAAGTCAAGCTTTGAAGTTGCCAATTTCATACAAGGAGAGCTTGCTAGAGTTTTGGGATTTGAATGCACTAATCTCACAAGAAAGGATAAGTACTTGGTTCTTGCTGGAAATGAAGGCATTGTCAGATAACAATAATCCGAATTTCATTAGGTCTTTTTGTTTTTTTGTGTTTTTGTTTGTTTCTGTTAAAGAAGTTAAAATATTTTTATTTCAGGGCTTCTATGTTTAATTTTATATGATTGATTCGTTGGCAATTTGGCATCATTTCTATTTCTGACCTTCTTCTTCTTTCTCGGGATTATTGATATTTACCGGAAATGTTTGCTCATATAAAATGTTGTTTCTAGATTTGTATAGTCTATGATCTCAACCTGTCGCTTTAACGCCATCAATTTTATCACTAGAAGTCTAGAAAAAATGAAATGATTTCAAAGTTGGCATCAATATTAAATCTATACATTATAGCAGTATATTCTTTATGTAAGGAAGATATGTCATGAAAGTTCATGTTCCTAAGTATATATATATATATACAACTAATTAACATCCCATATCACAACAGTAGCGTGAACGCCCATATTCTACCTCATATCACATCAAAATTTAATGTACCAGCTTAGAAGCTATTTAGATTCACATCACAGGAAGAAAAGGACCATATACCTGTCTAAACAGAATGAGTAAAGAAAGGGTTTCGCTTCTCTTCACTGCGCTGGTTTCACTTCATTCTCTTAACTGAAATATGAAGCTCAAAGAAGGAGCTTGAAGTCTTGAACCACTACCTTATGTTTGCCTCTTTGACAATGATATTTGCAATTCTACACAAGCAAAACAAAATGTCTTGTACTAAATAATACTGCAGAGACTGGAAGTAAGAACTTAGTGATGTTTCGAATGCATTACCTTTCCCTCACGCAACGAATCTCATCAAGAATTTCTGTCGTCTGCTGAACCTTCAGATTTTTGGGTTTATCTTCATGATTAAGCACCAAAGACGCAACATTTACAACAGTGACTAGTTCAGCTTCGATTCTGCTAAGTTTCTGGTCTAGATTTGCCATAAAAGATTCATAAGAAGACAGTCCTTTGAAGATGCGACCAGTTAAAGCATCTTCCAGTACTTGAACATCGGTTTCAAGAGTTGCTTGGGATTCCTCAAAGTTCTTTTCAATAAGTTGACTTTCTTGAGAATCCAAGCCTGTGAAATCATTTTCATGCCTGTCATCAGTAGATTTGGGCTTTGGAGATACAATGTGAATTCCACCTGAAGTATTTTCTCTATCTACGTCGAGATCCAAAGATATATTCCCAATCAGCTGTATTTCCTTGAAAGATATTGCCTGAAACAAAACCAAGCTTCTCTCTCAACACATGACTAGATAGATTTCTTGGATAACTGAATACAAAAGGACAATCAAACTATAACATTTCTTAGGTTTTTCACAGATAGAGTTATACACAAGAAATTCAAACTAAACAAGGATTGTGAGGTAACCAAGTAACATCTCGTTTCTTTCTACCTCGTTAAGTTTTGAAGAAAGGGTGTCGAGTAGCTCGATACGGGCTTTAGCCTTGTCCAAAGCTTGCATGACTTTTTTCTTCTGGAGAAGCAACTCTCTTGCATCATTCTCTTTCCCTGTCTGAACATTTACAGCTGCTTGTTTCCTTAGATTCTCTGCAGCCTCGGATAATCTCAAAAGTCTCAACCTATTACTATTTGCTACAACAACAACAATAAGAACCCAAAATTGATATCAATCACTGAATTCAGACAAAAAAAGGAAAATGCTAAAAAAGCACACATCTCATCTTTTCAAAACGAAACTCAATAAATCTAAGAAGTTCACACCACACATCTTCAGACACCATGTGGATGAAACTGGATTAGCTTTCATTCTAAATTAAATAAGGGTTTTTTATAATTAGTTTGGATATCTGAAGCAAGTCAACGACAGTTTATCCACTGTACTCATTCCAATTAAGACGAAGATTGGCAAATAAAGATTGGACCTTTGGCACGAGTGGACTCGGCCTCCGCGTGAAGCCGATCGAGCTGGGAACGGAGAAGCTCGGAATTTGCGGTGGAAGCGAAGCACATCGGACTTACCGGCGTCCGGAGAGACCGAGCAACCAGCAAAGGAGCTCCGACGACGCTCGTCGTCGTCACCATCTTTGGTCTTCTTACAAAACACAAACGCGCGTGGATTATCGAATACAGGGGAGGTACTCCAAATTTCATCTTGTTACTCTGGTATGAATACCCGGTTAGTTTTACAAAACCGATATTAATATAGATCGGTATTACGGCTTAACCGGTCTCAAGAAAACCGTGGTTAGGACTCGGAACATTTCGTCATCACACAGACTTTTCCAGCTTTGACGTCTCCGTCTAATTTTGATTTCTCTCTTCGACACTTGAAAATCTGAAGTTAGATACCATCTCGTAGATCGCGAATCTCCTGGCGCTTTGTAACCCCCTCACGTTTTCAAAAGTTCAGATTTTTGAATCTTGGATAAGGTGTTGTTCGACTATCGAATTTAGATTTGTAATCTCTGCCTTTTGGTTTTATTGTTTGTTTACCGCTTTTTTTTATTGTAGGAATCTGATCAGATATGAACTGGGTTCAACGCAAAATCTACCTTTACAATGTGACATTCGGGCTCTATATGCTTGATTGGTGGGAACGATACCTCTTCAGTATCCTCTTTCTCTCTCTCTCTCTCTCACTTATCCCTGATTCAGTCTCTTGAGTGATCTGTTCTTTCGGTGTCTAATTTTAAGAATAATATACTATTCGATCGTTAGAAAGATGCAAGTTTTGATTTTTACGTCGTTTCTGATACATGGTTGGCAACTGAATTCTTATCACTCGTGTTGTCGTCTAAAGCATTGTGTCTGTTCAATCTTTTAATGGTGTTAAGAGTTTTGGTTATAGCTAGTGCTGAATTATATAATTCCAATTGAGATTAAATTGATAGTTATACCTCTGATTGAAAAATCAGTTATACAAAAACATTAGATCTCTGCTTGCATATTCTTTGTCTCTTTGCCTTTCCTCAACTCTTATCAGATGGTTTGGTGGTAGTCTTGATGTGGTTCGTAGTATACAACGGCACACGCTACTTTTCAGAACTCTTCAAGAGGTAAAAACTTCATCTTTGTGCACACCTTTACGCTTTATGCATCTCGCTCAGAACCTTTCTTTTGTTGTAACACTTTCTGGTATGAGCTTGGTCTTATGGGTTCTAAGGGATGAATGTCATGATTCAATATGCTTTGTGTCTCCCAAAAAATTTTGCAGAACAAAATGATGAGTCCCGTATTTCCGTAAATACTATCTTACTTTCTCTTCCTCCTTAGGCATTGAGTTGGGATAGATATTAAGACCATATGCTGAATCCTTTTTAGGAGTTGAGTGTATTTGACATAGAAGATGATTCTTTTAAAATTGATACTTCAAGACAACAGCATTCAATATGTTATCTTACGCTCTTCTGAGAAGAATTTGAACCGCTTTCTCGATCATTTTCTATTTGCAATTACAGCGTAAGTACAATGTTTTACCTTCACATTGCAGGCACTTGACATGAAAGCTGGTCTTGTATCTCACACGGTAGAGCATGAAATGCCTGGAACCTCCAAAGGCATGCGCTTCAATACCAGCAAAACCTTTATGCTGCTTCACCTCCCTTTTCGGCATCACCTCTGATTTATGATAGATTTCCTCCAAAGTTCGGCATCACCTAGGAATGTTCGCATATTTATGTATTAATTGTTTTCATGTTTTTGGAATTAACAGAACTTATATTTATAGACTAGTAAGATCTCTCTCGTCTTTCCGTAGTATTTCAATCACTTCGAGACATGTGACCAAACCAAACGCGTAGGAATTTTTCAAGTGGTCGTGGTGTCTTTTGAGTCTTTTGTGACCAGTGAATGCTACTCCAATACTACAGAATGTTCTTCTTCATTTCGATTACAAAAGCATAAAACATCGTTGCAGCCTTGCAGGAACTAAAGAACTGACGGATTAGAAATAACAGAGCATTATTCAAGAAGAAGCTCTGTTCTAAACCTATAAAACGAATTCAGGAAGAATCAGTACACCAATCCTTTGGCAGTGAAGACTTGAAGATCTGAGACAGAAGATCCTGATCTCTCTTGTCTGGTCTTTTTGAACCAAATCCTTGACGCAGACCAAGTTCAACAGCTTCTCTTCCTTGTTCCGCTATTCTTTTCCTGACAGCTAGCAAAGAATTTTCCTTCACGGAAGGTGCTTCGTCCTTGACATCTCCATCTTCAGCATTCTTTTCTCCTCCATCTTCGCGTCCGCTTTTCCCAGGCCTTCCCCACCATTTGTTTGACACAGTTGTTAAACCGTTTGAAGGGAATCCAGATTTGAACTCATCTAAAGCTGCCACTGTCTTTGCCAGATTAGTGTTGTTAGCCCATACATGGGGCTTCCCACTTTTGTTTCCACCATGCTGCACCGTCGAATGCATCCCTCAGGTTTGGATGTGGTTAGGAACCACTATAATCAAGAGAAACCTTGAAATCAACAGAAGAAGAGTTATAAACCGCACTTTTGTGTTTGACAACCATAAAAGCACAGACAAAATTACTGTGAAGAAGAAAAAATAAAAATAAAAGAACCCCTAAAATAAGACAGATTCAATGCTTCCTGAAATCAGTCTGCAAGGTACCAAATCTGGAACCAGAGGATCTCTATAAACGACTAAAACGTTATGGGTTTCAGAAAAAGGCCAGAGCTTTTCCAATTTTCTAATGGTGGCATTGAAAACCCTAATCTCCTACAGTTGCATCGAAAAATTCCTCTCTTTTTTTCAAAGACGGTTCTCTTTTGGCGGAATCTCGATGCAGGCGACAAAAAAATCTTAAGACGTAACAACGACAAAAAAATCCAAGAAAAGAAAAGAAAAATCTAAGAGCTTTTACACGATGTATAAATCATTCGGTAGAGAAAAAAATCGTTCAGATTTTCACTGTCCGAGTACACAAATCTAGTTGTAAAAGTTGGTATCTACTAATAGTTAAATGTACAATACCGAGAGAAGGAAAGAGGCTTCGTTGGAGCTTCGTTTGGTGGGTTTTCTAGTTTTCTCAGTGTTCTATTTCAACACTATGTAAGTTTTTAACAAATAGAGAAAAGGACCAAAGTGTAATTTTCACTGAACCCAACATTTGTTTTTTACACAGGTCAGTCAATGGAAGTTTTATGCTTTTTTGTATCATGTTGGTGAATAACAAATTAAAAGGGTACAAAGGAATTGTCATAGACTATTGAAGACATGACCTAGTCTGAAAAACAACATACTGTAGTATGAGTACGAGGGTCTTACGTCAGGTGCTCTAAACATTTTTTCTATGATCCCAAAAGGCTGAATCAATAAAACAGCAACAACAGAAGAAAAAAGAATGAAGAACAAAGTAGGAAAGAAGGAAGAAGGCGGTTGAGTCACTACTTGGAGGCGGAAGGTGTCTCTTTATCCTTCTTTCCGGCGAGGATCATAGAGATCTGGAGACCGCGACTGAAGGCTTGATTAAACAGCAGTCTGGTTTGGAATTCAGACACAAATGGGAACCAAGATAAGACTGCAATGGGTGTGAATATCACAAGACCCATTATGTACTCGTACGCTCTCCCTAGCTCTTTAATCGAGTCCCAGAATCCTAATCCCTTGAGCACGCTACGCAGCGCTTGACCGATCTTCAAAACATAGAAACAGATTTACAAACTTTGTCCCATCCAAAGAAAATATTATCGGGCAGCTAAGAAAGTTGTGTGGACTTACAAGAAGAATGGCCCAGCCCGTAGGCAAGAATGCGAGCATGGAAGCACATAGATCTGCGATCGTGAGGCCGCACACGACAAATAATACTGTCATGACTGACAAGAAACCAAGGAAGAGAAGCGCCTTGAGAATCCTGAACATAACCTGAAAATCTGTACCAAATTTCCGTCTTCCCATCGATACCATCTGTACCAAATGATTAAACAAAACAAGCATCAATGTCAAATATAGAAATCCATTGTTCTAAAACCACAAGACTATCTCTTATAGACTTGGCTGAAGATTTTCTGGTCTTGAACTGGGTAAAGAAGCTCGAAGCAGATTTGTTACGGAGCCTTACCTTTAGGACGAGGAGAACTGACAACAAGACTGCCCAAGACAGTCCATAAACCTTAAAGAAGAAAGATACAAAGTTATTGTAAATTCTAAAGCTAAAGGGAATCTATAAAAGACTATGCCAAAAAAAAGAATGATATACCAGAAATGTTGTGTTGCGATGAGCGATGTTGAGGTGGTAGACAATTCCATACTGGTAAAGGAGGAAACGAAGTGCGAGAAGTATCTCGAGAACCCTTCCTCTTAAATTTGTGTGCTTGAGATGTTCTTGCTCTGTATCCCACCATGATTCCCAACTTTTGTCAAGAACGATTCCTATTCCACCGCGGTTTCCCATCCATCTTTTCCAGTCAGTCCAGTCGTCCACTGTCTTTTGCCACTCAAACCCAGATGGGTTGAATATAAATGGAGCAAACAACCAAGAAGTCACCAGGAACCACATTGAAAATGTGATGTATATATAAAGACTTGAGCTACGGTACGAATTCCCATAAACTTGATACACTACTAGTAGTATGACCAACTCCAGTCCCTTAACAAAGTGGCTTCGCGAATATAGTCTATAGTTTTCCGCAAACTTCGCATGGAAAACAACAAACCCTCGACCAGTTGCTCTGTACTTAGAACCTCCATGCAAAATCGTCCTCCCAAAGTAATGCGCTTTCGTTCCCAGCTGAAACGTGAAGAAAACAGAGGCAAGCTGAAGCTGCATTATGATGAAATCACCCAGGGCCGTGCGAAACCCTTTTTCTAGGCCAATTTCCATAACCATTGGTAGAACCATTAGAAAACCCAATTGGAAAACAGATTGTGCTGCTAATGCCTCCTCAAGGGCTTTGGACTGATGTATAGTTGCACTTTGTAGGATCTCCCTTTCCAATCCGCTCAATACCAAATAAAGCCGGCCATAAAGGAACACATATACTGTGAGCACCGTTATCTGAAACAGAAAAAAGACATGTTCGAATGAGGAATTAGGCATAGCTACAAGAGAAAGTAACTATTTGAATGAGGAATTAGGCATACCATGCTACTGAAATAGAAACCAACTGTGGTGAAGTAGAATGAGAGCATCCTGTAAAAATCAAACCGCCGTCCAAGTCGGTAAACATCACGACTTAGTGTTTGTTCTCCATTACCATTCGCAACTTTGGCTTCAAAAAACGAAATTTGATTCATCCCTACATCACGCCCTTTCCCTGCTTGGATATACTCATGGTGTGTGATGTAACCCCCACGCAGAGTTGAATTGTACCCTGGAAGTTACCATGGTTAGCCATCACAACATCTACAAGAAAATTTAACGTTTGTCAAGAACCGTTGTCTACCTGCAAATATATCTTCGCTTAAGTTTATTATCTTTGACGCCTTGCTAATGCCTCCCCTTGTTATGTGGAAGATTCTATCAAATATATCAGGATGGCCATAATGGAAACGCACCCTGTAAATTAACAGAAATGTGAGCAAGTTGTACAAAGAATCCAAGCTAGTCTTCTTTCTAGAGAAAAAAAAAAAGATTTTAGTTCTAAGATAATCTATTAGATTCGATTATGCAGATACTGCTACTTTTGAAGTAAGATTTGAAGCTACAAGGTAAGGATAGCAAGGATCTTTCCCCTAGTCACAAAATATGAGAATACCTCAGAGGATTTGCCAGAACACGTTGGCCAATGGTAACGAAACTTGTTTCTTGATTCGACATGAACCAGGCAAGTGATGAAACACTGTAGAGTCGGAGAGAAATCAGACAAGAAAGATTAAGAAAACAAAATATTATAGTGCCAATATGTGATGCATTAACATCAACGACGACCACACGTAATGAAGAATCTCATACCTTCCTGTAAATATGTGTTCACGAAGACCCAAAATTGTAGGATTTCTCTTGCCACGTCGACCTTCATCAAATTCTTGTAGCACATTTCTCATTTTGAAAGACTCTTCAAAGTAGTTGTCCTGAAGTGGGATAAAGGAATGAGAACATAGCTGGAATCAACAAATTGATTGAGGGATAGAGAGACGAAATCCTACCTGGTTCATGTCTATGGTCTGAAGTGCTTCACCGCGAGTGAAAATTATGGCATGGTTTTGATTCTCGGGTTTTCCTTCGCCAATTTCAGTAGGATGGCCGGGAAGTTTGATACGGTATATTTCCTAATAAATCAAGAACAAAGTTCATGGAGAGAAAACTAGGTAAGGCCTATTTATGTATGAATTACAATTTGCCTTCGTATACCTCATCTAATTTGTCACATCCTTTAAGCAGCACGGAGTAGAATACTTTCTGTGATTTTCCATTAACTGTCTCCTCCCTTTCATCTATATAGGCAACACGCAAAGACGGATACCTAACAATAATGTATGATTAAAACTAAGCTAAGAGAATAAGCATGAAGGTTTGATTTCAAACAAGGATAACTTTCTTACTTTAACATGAGCTGTAAAATATTGTTGTAACAACTTCGATCCCGGCTATCACTTGACTTTTTCTGGTTCCCATAGACCTGACATGACACGACATATGTGAATTTTAAATCTGCAAGAGCTCGTGCCCGGTCACTAAAAGCCTTTTGATCATCTTCATATGAATCTGAGGGAAGGTAGCCACCATGTGTAGCTGCAAGATGAAAATAGAGTTCATAAAACATACTTTGTTACAAAAAGTTCTCTTGACAACTAAATGCAGTAGTGGATGATATTACTAAGGAAGAAAAGGCGAACAATAAAATCTGAAAGTTTGAAATATCTAATACTGAGAATGGAGAGAAAATACAAACCGTTTTCTCCAGTGTATTCCTGGAAACATTGAAGCTCGAGAGCCATTCTGTAGTACATCATTCCCCTAACTAGCAAAATGGAAGATTTTCAATACATTAGTGACCACAGATCGTAGACATATGAGTAAAATCCTACAACATTTTGATAGTATACCTGTCCTTGAAAGGGTCTGGCCTCTATAAGATACCCATTGACGAAGTTGCTCTGCCTTGTCTTTCTCAGAAAAATTCCGTTTCGCATCATTTACACGTTCACAATAGTTCGACCATTCCTCTGTTAAGCAGCCATTTCATTCGATTAACTTTAAAATTTGTTATAAAGACGTACAAAAGCACCAGATAGAAGCTCACCAGGATATATTCTCTGTAGGTAGAACAAAATAGATATTCCATCTTCGTTTTCCTTGTTCAGTTCGTCCTCCGAATAGAGAACATCTTCTTTGTAATAAGGAGTTAAGACACTAGACATAAATGTGGAAAGAAGCAGACTTAGATCTTCTCTAGGACCATTATTACTTTGATTTAGCATAGTTTACAAAGGTGTAAGTGAAGAGTAAGTTTTCTTCAGGTATTAAGCTAAAACATGTACCTAAATGATAGCATATCACGAACTCGAGGAGCATCTGGCATATTCATGAACAGGGAATTTGCAAAGAATGTCATACGACGACGAGCTTCCAAATTTTGAGGGATATTTATTGCAGATTCTTTAACAGTCACAAGTAACAAGAGTCTCACAACCTACAAAGTAAGAATAAATGAATGAATGAGATCCAAAAGCAGAAGACATGGTTGGTTCTTAACATCGGACAGAAAAAAATGGTGTACCTTTTCCCTCCAAGAGACGTTCTTAGTCAAACCAAGATTTATCTTTTCAAACCTTTGTTCTTTCCTGTCGCTTTCAATATCACCACTCTGAAAATGAGCCCTCTCAAGGATTCTACAGGTAGAAAGACAAAGAATGTAACATTTGGGCTTACACATATAAGGATTGTTAAAACTAAAGAAACAAAAAACAGAGGAGCTTTTCTTGCATAGAAGATGAGCCAAACTTTCACATATGAATTAACAAGACTTACT